TTCTCTGTTCCTTTACGTTTCACGTTGTAGTTCTTCTTCTTCACTTGCCGCTTGATCGGTCCGTCTGAAAATAGAGTCCCACGGTCACTTCCGTTGTGACTTTTAATGTGTTGTGGCTTTTTAATGTGTTGCGGCATTTGCGTTTGTGTTGTGGCGTTTGTATTTGTTGCGGCGTTTGCATTAAAATAGAATTCCGCGGTCATTTCCGTTGTGTTTTTGTTTTGTTTGTTGTGGCTTTTTGTTGTGTTGTGGCATTTGTATTTGTTGCGGCGTTTGAGTTTGTTGTGACCCCTCTCGGCGTCCGTAGTTTTCAGGTAAGCTACTTATTCATTTGACGTATTCATTGTTATATACCGTATTTTCTGGACTATAAGTGGCTCCAGAGTGTAAGTCGCACCAGCCAAAAAAATGTGCAATGACAAAGAAAAAAACATATATAAGTCGCACCGGACTATAAGCGGCACTTTTTGGGGGAATGTATTTTATAAAATCAGAGACCAGGAACCGACATTTAATTTTAAAAGTCAAGTTCTAGTAAAAACAATAGAACAGAGAACAACAGACTGAAAAGGCGTTAATATGTTAATGTAACAAACAGCTCTGGAAAAAAATAAGAGACCTTGCTTCCTTCTGCTCTGACAATGTTCCCCAACTCTGAGGACTGTTTTTTCCAGCAGGACAATGTTTAACGCCGCACATCTCAGTCAATCAAGGTGTGGATGAAGGACGACCAGATCAAGACCGTCTCATGTCCAGACTGATCTCCAGACATGAACCCACTGAAAACCTCTGGAACGTGATCAAGAGGAAGATGGACGATCATCAGGGTTATTCCACCAAATATTGATTTCTGAACTCTTCCTAAGTTAAAACATTAGTATTGTGTTGTTTTAAAATGAATATGATCTTCTTTTCTTCACATTATTTGAGTTCTGAAAACATTGCATCTTTTTTTTATTTTTGACCATTTGTCATTTTCTGCAAATAAATGTTCTAAATAACCATATTTATAATAATATAGAATGAAACAAAAATGTTAATTTTACTCAAACACATACATATAAGTAGTAAAATCAGAGAAACTGATCATTTTCCAGGTCTCCTATTTTTTTTCCAGAGCTGTATGAACAGTTCTTCAGATAATTATAGCATAAACAACACAACATAAGTTTAACAAACTCACGATGTCATTCCAAATCACAAAATCTATTGAATTCTTTATCCTCTGTGTCACTTTTGCACGACTTCCAGAGATAAAACATAGATCCATGAGGTAAACAGAGCGCCGCTTCCTCTTCTGTGTCGCTGTCGTCAGACTCAGCATCAGTTCCAGTTAGAATTATTCCGGCCTTTCTGAATCCCGACACGATGGTTTTGGTGTCACTGAAGTCCAGGCTTTGTCCATCCATCCAGTGACTTCCAGGAAAGTTACATGGCGCATCCTCCCAGTTACCGTGAAGCTGTTTTCTCCATCCGTCAGTCTCTCACAAGTTTCTCGCTCACTCCAAACTTTCTTTCTGCTGCTCGATTACCATTTTTGGCTGAATATTTCACTATTTGCAGCAGGACAGCGGCTTTTTCTGCAGGAAAAGGATTAATAGTAACACTAGACACTGATACACAAGACTACAGCGCCCATCTCACGGCTGTCAGTCTGAAAATTTTAATATATACAAGTCACATCGGAGTATAAGTCACAGGAAACACCCAAACCATGAAAAAGTGTGACTTATAGTCCGAAAAATACAGTATTAATTTTGTGCAGTATTGTGTATTCAGGTACAGTTACTTATTCATTTGACAGTATTCATTATTATATACAGTAGTTATTGTCCTAAACTGAAAGTAACACATAGTCGTACTTTATCATGTAATTGGGCTTTGGAAGTTCTTAGTAAAAAACAGCTCTTGCAGTTTTCTTCCCTAATGAGACATAAATTACGGTATGACAAACAGGGCAACAAAAATAAAGCACTTTGTAATATTATGTAGTATTTTAGTGCTAAAATATAACTCATTTTGTTGTAAAAGTACAGTATTCCAAGTAAGATATTCAGATTACAGAACTCTGATTGGACCAAGTAACAGACTACAGTATGTTACATGATACAGTTTAATTCAGGTATTCAGTATTCAGTAACTAAATACAATTTCAGAGTATCCTTCACTGAAAATACATTATTTCCACTATTGTGATTATAAAATGATTAACAGGGTGACCAGATTTTCTACATTAAAAACTGGGTGGGGATGGTTGATATATGTACATAAAATTATGAAATGAGCATCCATCCTACTAGTTTTGTTGTTGTTGTTGTTTTTTGCCTTATTTTCAAGCACATTTTTTGGTATTTTAGCTAAACAAATGACAATATGTTACACCCCTTACCAGGAGAGTGCAATTATTTTTTCCATGGGGCCACATGAGAAACAGAAAATATTGTGGAGGGCCAAAACTCTTAACTCAATTCTGCATGATATTAATTGTATTTCATAAAAAGCTGTAAATATAATTGTTTTGACGCGCTGGTTAGACTGGTAAAAGTAAATGTCATGACCAAGCAATGAAAAAGTAAATGTTACCTTACAAAAAATGTCATATAACCTCCTCTAAAACACATTTAAAATAAAAAGCAATGCAGCTTTACTCCATGCATGAGGTAAAATTTTAAACAATTTTATTTTGTAATTGCCAATGATCTTGAATGGGCCAGTCTTAGTCAACTAAAGGGCTTGGACAATGCCCAGATCTGCTTTATACTATTCACGAGTATCAAATTGATAAAAAATAGGGACATCTGGGACATTTCTTGTATAAAACTGGGTCAAATCACTGATTTTAGATAAATGGGTGGGACAGGGGACATAGGGACAAAACTGGGAGTATTGTGATTATGAGATTGTTTGTTTGTTTATTTTTTTGCCTTATTTTCAAGCACTTTTTTTGTATTTTAGCTAAACAAATGACAATATATTACACCCTTTACCAGGAGAGGGCAATTATTTTTTCCATGAGAAACAGAAAATCCATTTCAAATCCGAATCCATTTCCATGAGAAACAGAAAATATTGTGGAGGGCCAAAACACATAACTCAATTCTGCATGATATTAATTGTATCACTCTTTTGACAATGTGGCCCGGGAGCTGTTTTTTACTATTCATGGGTATCAAATTAGTCAAAAATAGGGACACCTGGGACATTTCTTGTATAAAACTGGGTCAAATCACTGGTTTTAGATAAATGGGTGGGACAGGGGACATAGGGACAAAACTGGGAGTATTGTGATTATGACATGATTAACAGGGTGACCAGATTTTCCAAATTTTTGTATTTTAGCTAAACAAATGACAATGTATTACACCCCTTACCAGAAGAGGGCAATTATTTCTTCCATGAGAAACAGAAAATCCACTTTTAATCCAAATCCATTTCCATGAGAAACAGAAAATATTGTGGAGGGCCAAAATACTTAACTCAATTCTGCATGATATTAATTGTATTTCTTAATAAAAAGCAGTAAATATCATTGTTTTGATGCACTGGTCAGACTGGTAAAAGTAAATGTTACCTTACAAAAAATGTCATTTAACCTCCTCTAAAACACATTAAAAATAAAAAGCAAAGCACTTTTACTCCATGCATGAGGTAAAATTTCAAAATATGTTTATTTTGTAATTGCAAATGATCTTGAATGGGCCAGTCTTAGTCAACTAAAGGGCTTGGACAATGCCCAGATCTGCTTTATACTATTCACAAGTATCAAATTGATAAAAAATAGGGACATCTGGGACATTTCTTGTATAAAACTGGGTCAAATCACTGGTTTTAAATAAATGGCTGGGACAGGGGACATAGGGACAAAACTGGGAGTATTGTGATTCTGTTTGTTTATTGTGTGTGTTTGTTTTTTTTTTGTTTTTTTTTTTGTGCCTTATTTTCAAGCATTTTTTTTTGTATTTTACCTAAACAAATGACAATGTAGTACACCCTTTACCAGGAGAGGGCAATTATTCCATGAGAAACAGTATTGTGGTGGGCCAGGCCAAAATACTTAACTCAGCTCTGCACGATATTAATTGTATTTCTTAATAAAAAACTGTAAATAAATAAATAAATAAGTAAAAAGCAATGCAGCTTTAGTCCATGCATGAGGTCAAATTATAAAATATGTTTTTGTTGTTTAATTCCAAGCCGGTCAGAATCAACCAAAGAGCTTGGACAATGCCCAGCTCTGCTTTTAACTGTTTATGATAAATGTATATAAATGGGTGGGACAGGGGACATAGGGACAAAACTGGGTGTATTGTGATTATGAGATGATTAACAGGGTGATCAGATTTTCTACATTACAAACTGGGGCACACCAAGGCTGGGATAGTTGGTATATGTACATAAAATTATGTACATATACCATGTATATGTATTATGTAAAAATTATGAAAAGAACATCCATCCTACTCATAATCTGAGGGCCCTCTGTTTTTGTTTGTTTGTTTGTTTTTTGCCTTATTTTCAAGCACATTTTTTTGTATTTTAGCAAAAGAAATGACAATATTTTCCTCCCTCCTTTCCTGCCCTCCCTCTTTACCAGAGGTGGGCATTTTTTTCCCATGAGATCACATAAGAAACAGAAAGTATTGTGAAGTATCACAAGTATCAAATTGGTCAAAAATAGGGCCACCTGGGACATTTCCTGTATAAAACTGGGTCAAATCCCTGGTTTTAGATAAATGTGTGAGGACAGGGGACATGGGGACAAAACTGGGAGTGTCCCTGTTGACCTTAACGATTAGATAAGTTGAGCGTTTTTGCCTTTCTGCCGAATCAATTACGCGAAAACGTGATTAGGGCGTTACAAAAGACCCGCGGAACTAAAGTAATTAAAGAATTAGTTAAAAATAGCCTCGCATACGTACTGTACACGGCGCATCGCTCTAAAATAAATCGCGTGGCGCCATCTAGCGTGCGGGCTGTGGTCCTGCAGAGGCGGCTGATCCGGGCCACACGCATTCAGCCAACCAGGAAAAAGAGACTTATGATCGGCACTGTTCCGCCTCTGCCAGAGACCTTTGTTCTGCCCCCCCCGGATCTCCCACAAAATACCCAAACGGGCCAATGATCCGCGACTGAAATAGCCTCGGATCGGTGCGCTGCGTGAGCTTAATGGCTGTAGTTTTACGGCAAAAAATAACTACACACCGCGAGCTACGTTCGAGTGGACAGATCCGACAGAAGAGCCCACCCGGGGAACCATTTTCGTCATCTGCCAATGGAAACAAAACACGAAGATGAGAACGAGAGCCGACAAGGTGCGTGCAATCCGACCCGAACGCGTTTTATTGACCTTAAAAAGTCATCGGCGAGCGAAAAGCAGAACTGTGCGAGCGACATTTTTTTTTTTTTTTTTTTTTGCCGCACGCGATCCATTCATGCTACCGCGGCTAAAAGCTAAGCTAACCATCCCCCCCCTCACCGTCAACACAACAGGCTGTACCGGCGCGAACAATGCACAAACCCCGCCGGGAAATAAGTGAAGCAATTCCACTTTTGCACACGCATGTCCCGTTTTGCGCGTACGTAGCTTTTACGAGCCCAAACTCGAGCAAATCCGTCGGGGTTTCGGGACGCTACTTGACGATGCTAAGAATGCTAACTTCTTGACTACTTCCACTTAAACTAGTTCCCCGCTGTTTACAGTCGATCGCACTAACCCAGATCAAGTGGAATCAAGTCGCTTTATGCGCTATCATTGTTATTATTAATGTTACTCATCGATTCTAAAGAAAGCGATGGTCAAAACGCGATTCCTCAAACAAAGCAATATTGTGTAATGGTTGTATAATAGTTTAAGAGGCTGTTGGCATGCAGCGCGATGCTAGGAATGCTACGTTTCTTGACTTGCTTTTCACTAACACTTACTCATCAACGCTGATAAATAAAACCATTTAATGCACACAGAATACAATTTAGCCGCAATTCCTCCCGCGGACCCATGTTTTATCACGCTTTTGTCACGGTTTTGCGGGTGGATTATGGATTAAGATCCTCGTGGATGCTGCTATCTGCACTACTTCCTCCAAACTAGTTTACCCGCTGTTTACAGGCGAGTGCACTAACCCAGATTAAGGGGAATTAAGTTGTTTTATACACCGTTATAATAATTACTCCTAATTGGTGAAACTGCTGCTTAACTAGCTGCTGTTCTACCCACAAACCAGCCTTTAAAACAAAGGGACAAACTAAAGTTTAAGTCGACTTTTTCAAGTAAGGCACTTGGAAACAATCATTTCATTCATAGATAGTGGAATTAACTTAAGTGGTAATTATATATTTACTACTAACTGCTGTTTTATAATGCTTTTGGATTAGACAGATGCGGCCTTTAAAATGGTGGGATAATCTAAAACTAAGATTATCTTTTCAAATAATCCACATAGAAACAATACATTTGAGCCTCACAATAGACAGTGATGTTCTACATTATTATCGGAATCTCACATTTGTAATAAAGTAATTGATAAAATACTATTTAACTACTATTCTTCGAGACTCACAAGATAGTTATTTTAAGTTAAGTTGTTTTATACACTATTAAAATAATTACTCCTAATTGGTAAACTGCTGCTTAACTAGCTGCTGTTCTACCCACAAACCAGCCTTTAAAACAAAGGGACAAACTAAAGTTTAAGTCGACTTTTTCAAGTAAGGCACTTGGAAACAATCATTTCATTCATAGATAATGCTGTTAAGTGGTAATTATTTATTTATTACTAACTACTACTTCTTACAAGTAGTACAAGTCAATCTTTTATAATGCATTTGGATTAGACGGATGCAGCCTGTAAAATGGTGGGATAATCTAAAAGTAAGATTAGTTTTTCAAATAATGCACTTTGAAAATATAATTTTTAAGACTCACAAGATAGATAGTGATGTTATATTATTATATTATATAATAATGTAATATTTACTCATCAATGCTATTTAACTACTACTCTTCTCACAAACCAATCTTGTATAATGCTTTTGGATTAGACAGATACGACAATGGTGGGACAATCTAAGATTAGTTTTTCAAATAATCCACATAGAAACAATACATTTGAGCCCCACAATAGACAGTGATGTTCTACATTATTATCGGAATCTCACATTCGTAATAAAGTAATTGATAAAATACTATTTAACTACTATTCTTTTCACAAACCAATCTTTATAACACTTTTAAATTAGACAAATATGACCTTTAAAATTGTGGGACAATCTAAGTTAAAGGTAAGATTATTCTTTCAAATAATACACTTGGAAACAATCATTTGAGCCTTACAATGGATAGTGATGTTACGTAAAATTAAGTTGCTTTTTCACTATTATTATAATTACTCATAATTGGTAAACTGCTGCTTAACCAGCTGCTATTCTTCTCACAAACCAGCCTTTAAAACAATGGGACAAGCTGAAGTTTAAATCTACTTTTTCAAATAATCCACTTTGAAACAATCATTTCATTCACAGATGGTGGAATGAAGTTAAGTGGTAATTATATATTTACTACTAACTACTACTTCTTACAAGTGACTCTTGTGTAATGCTTTTGGATTAGACAAATATGTCCTGTAAAATGGTGGGATAATCTAAAACTAAGATTAGTTTTTCACATAATGCACTTTGAAACTATAATTTTGAACCTCACAATAGATAGTGATGTTATACACTATTATTATAATTACTCATCAATGCTGTTTAACGACTATTCTTGTCACAAACCAGTTTTTTATAATGCTTTTGGATTAGACAGATATGGCCTTTAAAATGGCGGAAAATCTAAAAGTAAGATTAGTTTTTCAGATGATGCATTTTAAAACTATAGTTTTGAGCCTCACAACAGATAGCGATGTTCTACATTATTATCGTAATCACTCATCTGTAAGAAAGTAATTGATAAAATATTATTTAACTACTATTCTTCTCACAAACCAATCTTTTATAACGCTTTTAAATTAGACACATATGTCCTTTAAAATGGTGGCACAATCTAACTAAAGGTAAGATTATTTTTTCAAATAATAGATTTAGAAACAATCATTTGAGCCTTACAGTAGATAATGATGTTATTCACTATTATAATTACTCATGCATGAAAAAGTAATTGGTAAAATGCTGTTTATTAAACTATTATTCTTCTCACAAACCAGCCTTTAAAACAATGGGACAATATAAAATGAATTTTACTTTTTCAAATAATGCACTTAACAATACAAAACATTTGAACCTCAAAATAGATCGTGATGTTCTACATTATTATCGGAATCACTCATCCGTAATAAAATAATTGGTACAACACTATTTAACTACTATTCTTCTCACAAACCAATCTTTTAATAATACACTTAGAAACAATCATTTGAGCCTTAAAGTAGATGGTGTATAAAGCAACTTCATTCCACTTCATATCACTATTATTATAATCACTCATCCATGATAAAGAAATTGGTAAAATGCTACTACTAAACTACTATTATTCTCAAAAACCAGCCTGTAAAACAATGGGACAATATAAAATGAATTTTACTTTTTCAAATAATGTACTTAACAATACAAAACACAGTCATGTTCTACATTATTATCGGAATCTCTCATCCGTAATAAAATAATTGGTAAAACACTATTTAACTACTCTTCTTCTCACAAACCAACCTTTTATAAGACTTTTGGATTAGACAAAGATCGTGCCACCATTTTAAAGGCCATATAACTAAAGGTAAGATTAGTTTTCAAATAATACACTTTTATTATAATCACTCATCCATGATAAAGAAATTGGTAAAATGCTTCTACTAAACTACTCCTCTTCTCACAAATCAGCCTTTAAAACAATGGGACAATCTGAAGTTACGTTTACTTTTTCAAATAATGCACTTTGAAACAATCATAATAGATGTTTTATATATTATACATTATCATAATTACTCAAGTAATTCATAAAATACTATTCTCATATTCTTATTTTTATACTACTATTCTTTTCACAAACCAATCTTTTATAACGCTTTTGGTTTAGACAAATGTGTTTTTTAAAATGGTGGGACATTGTGACTAAAGTTAAGATTATTTTTTCAAATAATGCACTTAAAAACAATAATTTGAACCTCACAATAGATAGTGATGGTATTCACTATTATTATAATTACTCAACAATGATTAAGTAATTGGTAAAATGATATGTAAATATTTTCACAAACCAATCTTTTATAATGCTTTTTGGTTAGACAAATATGGCCTTTAAAATGGTGGGACAGTATAAAATGGTCTACTTTTTCAAATAATACGCTTTGAAACAATAAATTTGAACCTCACAATAAATGGTGATGTTATACACTATATATTATATATTATACATTATCGTACTTAAGTAATTGGTAAAATGCTATTCTTATATTCTTATTTTTATACTACTATTCTTTTCACAAACCAAACTTCTATAACGCTTTTGGATTAGACAAATGTGTTCTTTAAAATGGTGGGACATTGTAAGTAAAGTTAAGATTATTTTTTCAAATAATGCACTTAAAACAATAATTTTAACCTCACAATAGATAGTGATGTTATTCAGTATTATTATAATTACTCAACAATGATTAAGTAATTGGTAAAATTCTACTTAAATACTGTTCTTTTCACAAACCAATCTTTTATAATGCTTTTGGATTAGACAAATACGGCCTGTAAAATGGTGGGACAGTATAAAATGAAGTCTAGTTTTTCAAATAACACGCTTTGAAACGATAAATTTGAACCTCACAATAGATAGCGATGTTAAGTGAGATCAAATTGCTTTATAAAGTGTCATAATTACTCATCGGTGACCAATAAAGCACGCGGTGAAATAGGCCTAATGCTTTTAATGCCTTTTTAGATTCGAGAAATACGACTTAAAACGGCGGTCGCGATCTAAAATTAACTTTACTTTTCGTATCGCGCGCTTTGAATCTATAATTTTGCGCCTCGCTCTAGATAGTGACGTTAATAATGTAATTCTATTTGCCGCTGCAGCTCCGTCCATCCATTTTCTTCCACTTAACCGAGACGATCTTCTGTCTCTCCCTCTCTCCGAACGCGCTACTCCAAGGGCTATTACTGTGGATAGAATATAGGAGAGAATATAACCAGAACAAAACCACGAAGAATGTGTAAGACTATATGAAGATCTTCGAATATGGACGTCGAAAATTTTTTTAATTGCATTTTTAATACTGTTTTTTTCTTTTGAACCTTGCAGATTCATGTAGTAGTTCCAGCGGTGATTTAA